ATTGCTAAAAGTAAAGTTTAAGTATGCAAGTATGTAACTTCTTTCTTTCTTCTACTTCTATGGTTTACTCTCAATATTCATTCTTATGTGGAAACATTTATGCTAATATTTTGGATATAATTTTTTGTTGGTCTTAGTTATTTTATTAATACTTTTAGATGGTATTGGTATTAGGGCCTTTTTTTTCAAGAGTAACCATCATGTCAATGTCATTTAAGCATTTCAAGCAGTTTATTATTTGGTTGACCGGTTTCAGGTAAAAATGATTGTATTAGATGAAATAAGATTTGGTAGTTGTGCTCGCACCATTCTCATAGCCTTTTTCAGCCATGTATTGGGAATATCTCTCCATAGATAAAAAGATACAAGTATGGAGATGTTCCCAATGCATGACAATAACAATGTGAGTACAATTTTGTGAGGATTGAATCCACCCTTGTTTAAATACCAAAAAAAAGGGAATTTTGGACTGCAATCCCCCTCAAAAATTGAATTTGCAGCTCCCTCCTAATCTACTAGTAGCCTCCCCCTCTATAAACCACATCCTGCTTGTGAATTTGGCATCAATCCACGGGCAGGATTCAGTTCACCCCTAGTCTAGTAGTAGCTCCACTTAGGGGTGGATTGAATGGTAAAAACCGAAAAAAAAGGAACCCATAAGGATGAGGCTTTTGTACTTAACCAAGGTTAAAAGGATATAGAGTAGAGGAAGTTGGACTTGTTGAAAATTCCACTATTTTGCAGGTTCAATTTGCAAATGAGAGAGCAAAGGTTAAAGTGGCTGAAGAGTTGCCTCAGTTTCTATAAAAATCACTTTTTTTTTTCAGAAAATGTTTTTTCATGTTTCTTGTCAGGAGAAATGTTTTCTCCTATATGGTACCTATGTGTCTTGAACAAGGTTTAAAATTTCGATACGATACGCTCGATATGGGGCATATCTTATCGTATCTTTGAAAAATAGATATGTGATACACATGGAAATCAGGTGCCTCATCTTTTTTCATGTGTATCGGACCTGTATCAAGGTGTATAGGGGCCTATTGGTAGCGTATCGACGAAAAAGATACAACCAAAAACTGAAAAAAGGGAGGGGGGGAGCAAGTTTCTTTTCCTTGAAATAAGCCTTCTTTAACCCTCAAATGATTTTAAAACTCCAAACCTCATTCCTAGAGTGTTAGATTTGCAAAAAAATTCCAAAAAACAAGTGTAAATCATTATTATTTTAAGATTTTTCAAAATTTGAAAAAATATGGCAAAAATAAGTAATTTTTGAATTTTTTATAATATCTTGTGATTTCTTCTTTTTCTTGAATGTTTATATTTATGTTGATCTACATTTCTTATATTTAAAATTATAATTTTTTTTGTGTTATCAATAGATTTATGGAAATTTCATGAAGATATTTGGGGAAATATAAATTAACAAAAAGTTTGAAAATGTAATTTTTTCTTTGCCTATAAAGACTAAATATGTTTTAGATCTATGGATTTATCTATCATATCCCTAGAGCAATTGAAATTTTTTCTTTAATATTTTATTTTATTATTATTTTTTATTTTTAGAATTAAAAAATAAATAATAATTAATTATATTTTATCATTTGATCACAATAATTGAATATATTATAATTTTATGGATGATCTATCATATCCACAAAGCAATTGAAAATTTTTCTTTAATAACTAATTTTTGAATAAATTATAAAATGTTTATTTTTTTATAATTTTTGTAAATAAATAAATAATAATTAATTATTAATTATATTCACTTAGAAGTTGTGCCAATGCATATTTTATGATTGGATAGGAGAGTTGGGTTTTTCCATCCCATAAAACATTAAAACTTAAGAATTATAATTTATAAATTATAGTTAAGCATAGGATTTTTAATGAAATTATAATTAACTACAATGTACTTCTTCATAAAACCATTAAAATATATTAATTTAATGTATATACACCTCATTGAGGTCTTGCATTTAGTGTTGTTGATGTATTTTTATGATTTATTAAAGTATTTATAGTGTTTCCAAGTGTATCTATGCGTATCTTAGTTTTTCTCTGATACACATGCGTATGTAAGGTGTATCCCGATATGTTTCTTAAAATTGCCTTTCTGATACACTTGACGTTTCCGATACTTCGAACCTTGGTCTTGAAATGGGAATAAGCATAAATAAACAATAGAATTTGGGAGTCTGTATCGGATTCAACTTTTCTTTTGATTTTCTAATAAAAGTTGTTGCTTTTAATGGAATCGATACCAAACACGGCCTTAGTATTTTATAACATGTTTACATTTATATAATTTGACCAGGATTAGACCAACCAATGGAGATCGGAGGGCATAATGACCAGACATGATAGGGCTTTGATAAATACCTACTTTTTTTTTGTATAATTGATAAATAACATATGGTTAATTACCACTTTTATAATACCAATTCATTGGCTACAAAGTTTTTACCGGCATGACATATTTCTGGTGTCATAGTTGAACCCTCAGCCATAAGGTTGTGTTCGATTTGATAGAAAGTAATGGTGCAACTTGGGTTGGATTGGGTAGAAGATAGATCACTAGAGAGAACAGGGTTCAAGTGGGGTCTAGTCTATTTACATTACAACAGAAGTGTTAGGACTAAAATTCCATTTGGAGGGAGGCTGAATGACCATCTCAAAACTTTTGGGCCCATGGATAGTGATGTAGGCGCTTATAGCTCGGGCCAATGGCATGTGCGCGTGTGGCAGAAGGTGACATGCATAGCGGATCCAATGGGAACGTGCCTAGAGTAGAGGCTGGCATGTGATGCAGGGCCAATAGTGTGGTCGCACGCGGTGGCCTTAGATGGCCGCGCCCTCAAGGCCGGACTGCATCCTGGTCGTCCGTGTTCACCTACCTCTAGGTGGTCTCAAGTATAAATAGGGGGTGACCCCCCAAGGTGAATATTTAGACTCTTTATTACTAAGAACTTCCTTGCCTCCCTTGTGGCCTTGCCTGAGCATCCCAACCTCAGGCCTCATCCACCTCCTGTTACACCTGTACTAACTTGACCATCGGAGTCTCCGCCTTGGGCCAACACCCAGGGCCTCTGGCGTTCCCTCTCTCTCCACAGGTCTGACCTACTAGCTTTCGGCCACAACGAATCTCAGACTCATTAGTTAGTCCTCAGCTCGGAAGCGGATTTACCTTGTTGCCCTCAGCCCATCCTAGGTAGCAACAAATAGCTTCCCCATCTGGCCATCTTTCACTATTTGGGAAGATGCTAAACGGCCATCTAAGGGTGTCAATTGGGTTGGATTTGGTCCAATCTGATCCAGTCCAATGTGAGTCCATTATAAATGGACCAGGTCCAATCCAATTCAATGTTTGGACCGTCTAATTTGTTCAAATTCATTTCGATTTAGATTGGTTTCAACCCAAACCGGTCCATTGACACATATATTCTTATCTTATATCAATGGACCAGATACTGGTTTAATCCAAGCCAATCCAATATAAATTTGTTACGAACGGACCAAATTCAATTCAATATGTCTTGTTGGTCTATCCAATCCGTCCAAATTAATTTTAGATTGGATTGGGTCCAATCCAAAACTGGTCCATTGACACCCTTAATCATGAGCACCTTGATATCGTTAATATTCTTCAAATAAGTAGGAGGTCATTAGAGACTCATTAGGCCATTGGCCATTGTTCATTTCTTAGGCCTAGTTGGTTTGCCTGTATTTAGTGGGGGTATGTTGGTCAATGTTACCTAGGTATGTTGTGCATCTGACTCTCTCCCTTTCATCTGTCTCTTTATCCGAATAACTTATAATGTAAAAAATGTGGAAGTGTATTTATCCGGATGAACTTTATTTAAGAAACACTTACCCAGATAAGAACAAAGACCGCAAACAATTAAAGTATTAAACCAAAATCTTCATCGAATCAAATTGAATCCGAACTCCAATGGTTGAAAATCCTCACATCCCTAAGGTAGGAGAGTCGAAAAAAAATGTGAAAAGTGTTAGGGGAAGAAATTTCCAAACTTTTACAAGTTTAGATTTTTGAGACTTTCCCTTATTTTGTACTTTTGATCACATTTAATCGGATTGGATCATTAATAAATGGATCAGATTGAGATCGATTCATATTCCATCCAATAAATGCACAAAGCACAAATCTCGTTTTCGATTTGAATTTCATTAATAAAAGTTTATCGAATATCCGGATAAAAAAAATTCCAAACACAGACTGTTGATGTAAACAATCAAGAACGTTCATCATATAGCCCCATTGGCCAGTCCTGTTTGCCACCTGGCAAAACTGTAATTAACATTAAAATTGCCACGTGTCATGATGCTATAAGTAAAGAAAGGATCATATATATATATATATAAACTTGGTCAAAGCACAATTGACGACCACCCTCACACTGGGAAATGAAGAAAGCAGACCTCCGAAAGGAAACATCTGAGTTCCTAAAAGTCCTCCAACTGAAAATGGTAACCCGCATCAGTTACCTTCATCGCTTCGCTTCCTCCGCTTCCTCCCCAATTTCCACGCACTGCGAGTCCAAATACCTCTTTCTCTCTCTTTCTCTCTCCAATTTTCACTCAAACCAAATTTATAGATTTTAAATGCATTGTTGGTATTTCTCTCTCTCTCTCTTATTAAGTTATTAGACGCGTCGATGGTCAAAACGAGTGAAGTACTGAGTGAGACTATTTCAGTCTTTTGTAGAGGTTCGTTTCATAACGGCTGAAGCCTGAAATGGCTGAACCAAATTGGTTGTTGCTTCGACTTTTGATGGAACCCATCTGTTGAGAATTGAGATGAGACCCACTAGAAATAATGTGCTATTGTAGTTGTAAATGAATGGTTTAAGTTAATTTGTAAGGTTTACAAAGAAAAGGGTTATTTGTGTATACTCAGCTTTGCTCTTACACATGGAAGTTACCGATATAATATTTTATTATATATGAAAAGCAGGTTCAGACCGATAGACAACCGATTCAAAAAGAAAATGGAGAGAGAGAGAAAGGAAAGTAAGGAGAGAGAAACGAAACCATCCATGCATGGGCAATGGGCATGCCATTTTGCTATGCTGTTCTTGTTCTAGACTTCTAGTTGGTGTGTTGTTGGTGCTTGTAATGTAAAATTTGTAGGCAATCTTAACTTAAAGAGAGCCATGCTCTCTCTCTCTCTCTGAAAGCCTCTCTTCGTCTCCTCCTCCTCCTCCACGCCGCCTATCTTCCTAATCTTACCAACAACCCATTCATCACTCCCTTTGCATTTCCTTTAATTTAACAAAACAACATCCGCCCTCTGATTCTTCCCCTGCTTTTATTGCTCTTTCTCTGCAATTTGCAATAGCAGAAATAGGACAAAACGTAACCATGGATTCTTTTTCTTACTAATGCCGCCTCTATCATCCCTGGTACGTCTCCACTGACGTAACCTTCATATGCTTCTAAAATCAATCTGTCTGTCTCTCTGTTGCATTCTCCATTTCTCTCTCCTCTGTGTTAGCTTTTCCTTGGATTGCTTTTATGGGTTTTAGATACTTGTTTTTTTCATATGGCCTTGTGGGTTTTTGTATAAAACATTGAAATTTTCTATTTTTGGGTTGGTTTCAGACGATCAGGGTTTTTGAGGTTCTTGGGCATTCCTTGAATTGGTTGAATTGAGTTGGGTTTTTCTGGATTCTCTTAAAAATTCCGTATCTGGTCATCTTTTACTTTGGTGGTCTTCCGGGCGTTGAATTCGAGGAGAGAATCCGTCTGATGAGGATGATCGTCGTTGTGAGGTTTTGTTTTGGGTCTGGTTCTGAACCAGGTTCTGGGCATCAATGTTTTTTCTCTTGTATAATTGGTTAGTTTTGACTGGATGTTTTGATGAGTCTATCTGTTGCTTTTTTCTGGGTTTTTGTGTATATTGAGGAATTGGATGAAGGACTTAGGTTAGGTTACTGGGTTTACACTGAATAGGTTCAAGGAAAAACAAAAAAAAAAAAAAACTTTTTTTTTTCTTATTATTGTATCAATATTTGTTTTTATCTAATCGGTTTTCATCGTCTACCTGCATTAGATGATCGGTGTGGTTTAAAGGATTTCTGTTTCTTTATAGATTTCTTCTCCAATCTTTCTCTTTCTAGTTAAAAAGATTGGAAAGAAGTAGTAAAGATGGAGTTTTCATCTGTTTCACAATGTGAGTTTTGATTGTCGTAGAAATCATGCTTGTCAACATTTCATGAATCAGATGATGTTTTGTGGTTATTGGATTCAGATTAAATTTTGTTTTTTTTTGTCACATTGCTTTAAGCATTGGTTTCTAACTGATATAGACACTGATTGCCTTGAAGGGATTGTTTGTGGGTCTGCATTGCCAAGTAGAGCTGCTTCTCTTCGGCAGCGTGAAAAAGGTTTCAAACTTCCTGCCACTTGTGAGATGGAAGGAGGGATTGAACAGGACTATGATGAATTTGAGATGCTTCTGGGTGAGATACCGAATGCAACTTCTGAAAATCCACAAGCTGAGTCTGGACGTATAAATTCCCCTTTAGTTGCGGAAAGGATCCCTCCTGAAGAGGGAGAAGGGAAGTCCTCTTCATCAGCCTCTTTTGCTAACTTCTACCATGCACCTGAGGCTGCAAGCTCTGGCAGCAATTCGGCATTCTATGATGGTTTGGCCTTTGAAAGACCCAGCACCACCTGTTTGAATTACTCTCAAGTTTTGACTGATGAGAAACTTCAACCCAATAGGAATTTGAGTGGAGGGAAAATAATCTTGAAGAATGCTCATCAATCACCTGTCAAAAATGTTGATCATGATGATTCCAACTTGCCAGATGACCAATCCTTGACATCAGCATTTGCAGAACTGAGCTTCAAGGATGGTGTGATGATGGAAGCACCAGATTCTCAGTTGGTCAGCCATAAGACATTAGAAAACTGCACCTTTCTACTTGAAGGGCAGTATCCAAACTGCATTAAAAAACCACTTGCAAGTTTGGAGTCAGGGGGTGTTGTTATTCCTGCTTCACCCAATGCACCAAATGGCATGAATGTGGTGTATCCTGTGGTGAATGATCTCAATAAGTTCAATGTGGGGATGAATGGCCAAGTAAACACAAAGTTTCTAAAACTCAATGCTCAGGAGCTAAATAAACAGTATCCTAGGTCTCATCAGCTGCTTGAGAATTTATCATGTGACCTAGGGGAGCAATTACAGAGACTTCAAATGTACTCTCCTTCCACACCATTAGCTGCTGGAATGCAATCGTTTCAGGTGCTCCAAAACATTCCTGTCCCTGGAGTTGATTTCCCAGTGGCACCTTTTCAGCAGCAGTATTTCATGGAGGCACAATCTCCTCTTCCTTACATGCAACCACAGCCTTTAAATCGTTCCCACATCACATGGAGGCAATTAGAGGAAGAAAGGTATTGTAGGATGCACCAACAATACCTTTACTTGCAACAACTCTGTAATCAGGGATCTGAAAATCATGTTCCAAGTCAAGCAAGCGGTAATGTTGCCATTGGCTCAATAGCTGGCAGCCAAAGGCAACCATATTTTGAGATACCCATCTCCCACCAACTTGAACAGGCTGGTCGAGGCCCATTTTGGAACAATGCTGCAGTGCCAAGGAGATTTAATTCGCCAGATCTAACACTGGTGAGTAGTGGCCTCTGCTGTTATTATGCTCAGGGGTTTTGTGGGAGGGGTGAGAGCTGTCCATTTGCTCATGGCCAGAAGCAAACCTCAGCAACAAGTTTAGGGTGTCGTCCTTTTACTGCTAGAAATCTTGAACCAGTTAAAGTTTTGGACAAAGTTGTGAAACAGAATTTTCCTGAAAAGATTCTAACAAGGTCACATGGCTTGAACTCAATTAGAACTATCAAACCTTGCTCTGATGTAGGAAATGAATCACTAAACCATGGTAAACTCATGAATGGTCACTACCAGTACCATCCATCCCTTCTAAATGTGGCATCCTTCCAGCTAGATGATCGGAACTCCCAAGGTTCAACCCCCGACACTGCAGATCTCAGATATAATAATAATCCAAAATCACCATCTCAAAAATATAATTCTGTAGATGAGGTCATTGGTAGAATTTATCTCATAGCAAAGGATCAACATGGTTGCCGCTTCTTGCAAAGAAAATTCACAGAGGGCACTAAACAAGATGTTGATAAAATCTTCCTTGAGATCATTGGTCACATTGTTGAGCTCATGACGGATCCTTTTGGGAATTACCTTGTCCAGAAGCTTCTTGAAGTCTGTGATGAGGACCAGAAAATGCAGATACTTCATGCAATCACCAGAAAACCTGGAGACCTTGTTAGAATTTCTTGTGACATGCATGGGTCAGTTCATCTTTCGTTGCCTTGTTATGTTGCTGGTTTGTTTTTCCAATATCTTTTAGCCTGCACTAAGGTTTTTCTCCTCACATTTGATGTCTTTCCAAAAACAGAACTCGGGCTGTGCAAAAGCTGATTGAAACCCTTAATACTCTAGAACAAGTTTCCATGGTTGTTTCCTCATTGAAGCCTGGTATAGTGATGTTGATAAAAAACATGAATGGTAATCATGTTGCAGCACGGTGCTTGCAATATTTAATGCCCGAATACTGTGAGGTAAGGATTTTATTTTCCTTCAAGATCTTCTCTTCTTAAGTAGTCTATTTGTACCTCTAATTTTATCCATATTATTATCGTTCAATAAAGATTTCTGATCTCTTAAATGAAAACCTATCCATTTATCTATCTAGATTTCCACATAATTTTTTTTGATAATTGGATTTCTACATAATTATCCATATAAATATATATAATTGGTTGTCGTTTTTTTCTTTTAAGTCTTGCTTAAGTTGTTAATTTCTTTTTTATGCCAATGGTTTTAATGTTTATTTCCCTACTCAACTAACATTTGATGAGGGGGAAATGTAGGTGATCTTCATGTTATGAAAATTTGTGTTTCCGATACTTGGAGAATGAAATTGATTTCTCCCATTCCTCATCTGTGGCAATTTCATCATTATTGGTTTTGTTTCTTTTTTCTAATTTGAGTCAATTTTGGATTATTTAGAAAAGTCTGCTAGTTCATAGTTGTCATAGCCACATAGGCAAAGGATAATTAGTGTTGGGTCGTTTTTAGTAATGACTGAAGGCTGTATGTGCAATAGGTTCAATTATGTCAACTAGAGGTTGAACTAGAATTAGATCTATTGAATCTCTTGCTTGAGAACATTGAATACAATGAAGTATTGACAGTTTATCTGGTTGCACCATGAAAACCATTTCTAAGGAAATTGGAATGTTTCTATAAAACCATATCCCTGGTTTCATTTTGCAATATCATAGTGTAGCATGTTTTCAAAAATGTAACATACAGTCTTTGAAAACTCCAATCTCCTTTTGGCTGTTGCCTTATTTCAGTCAAGGGCTAGTTAACATCTTCAATGCCTAACAAACTAAGTGTCATAGTTATGAATGTTTATTTATTGATTTTTGACCCATCAATGAAATTGTTAAAATCATGCATTGAATCATAATGGTTAAAAGCAAGTCCCTTTCCCAATCACTAGGATTTTAATTTAGAATTGAAAATAAAGACATTTATAAGAACCTAGGGATAGCACCACTAATTGGTGACAATATGAAGGGGAGTCAACTAATATCATTTTAGTTGCCAGCATACCAACTAAAAGTCCTTTCATAAGTTGGTGTTCCCTCCCTTCTGTGTGCCCTTTTTATATAGCAGCTCTTTTTATCATTAATGAACTATAAAAATTTACTGCTCTGAACTGAAAAGAATTTACCTGATGTAAGTTGAGGCTCTGAAAAAGCTAGATCTAGGGGTAGTGTAAAAGGATATGGGTTTCAATATTTCATTAATTGGAAAGAACCTGAGGATTCACGATCTGAGAGAAGATATGACCCTTGAAATCTTGATTGTTACAAATAAAAAGACCCTTCAGAAGGTGGAATGGTGAACCCAAGTAGTTGTGATCAGTGGTGGAGCCAGGAATTTCCTTTACTTTTTTTTTTTTGGGGGGGGGGGCAAGTTAAACAAGAAAATGAGTTAGGGAGTAGATGAGGTAGGGTTTGGAGAGAAATGGGGCAGAAAAAGTTTTGGATCTATTACAGATTTTTTTCTAAGAAAAAATAAACATTTTTTTTTTTAATTTTAGGAGTTGGAGGAGTATTACAGAATGATCCTTAACATTTTATTCAAGTTTTTTTTTTTTTTTTTGGGGGGGGNGGGGGGCAGGGGGCGGAAGCAAGGACACACTTATCTACGTTTCTGACCTTTCCCCCACCTATATAGACAATGGTTTTAATGAGGACCCCCCACCAATATACTTGGCTCCGCCCCTGGTTGCGATTAATCCTATGAATCAAGCAGTTTTGTCATCCCTTTTTCTTTTCCTGAATGCAGAACTGCATTATGGTTTGGCTTGCATAGGAGTTCCCAACCTAAAATCTTGGTACAAAGATTTCCATGGAATGAAAATATGTACAGTGTTACTCTTTACCACTTTTGTTGGTTCTGATTGTCTTGTTTGTACTGTTATCCAGATGATTATAAAACTAGGCCTGGTGGAAGAACAGAGAAGCATAAAAGATGATTTATATCAGCATAAATTGTTGAAATCTTACCACATTTTTTCTCTATATCAGATAAAGACCTGCATTGGTAGAACTTGCATTTCATAAACCATTAGCATTGCTGCAGGTTGCATCTAATTTCTATTTATTAGGTTGCTGGATTTTTTATGTGGTTTTTACCTGAAGCCTCATTTTATGGTTTCCTGTTTGGTTATTATTTTGGTAATTACTTTCAATGTGGTTTATCCCATCATTGTTAAATGGATTTTTTGGGAGGAGGGTGAAGGAAAACAGAAAGTCTGTTCATACAAAAAGGAAAAAAGGCCCCAAGGACATCAAAATTGAGTATTTGTACACCCTCTCGCATCCTCAACAATAGTGCAGTTGGGAACTTATTATGATACATATAGTGCTCACTGTTAAATGACAATTTTGCAATTTATGGTGCCTTTTGTGAATCAGAGATGATGTATGTTGCTATTGAGGTCTGTATTTTATGTTATTCTCCTTCTTTGATGGTTGTCTTAATCAACATTGGTAATCCGCATGTAGTTTCATCGTTCTAAAAACTCATAATCTGGGCATGTTAGTTCAATGTAATAAATTCCATACACCAACTATGGCACTAAATATGGGAAAAGTATTATTTACTTTGATTTAGAGTTCCTTCAAAAACTGCTGAATTGGCTGAACTGAAATACTTGTCAATTTTGTCTTCAGTGAATAAAATAACCATATAAGAAAACATTTAGGGGTAAAGCAGTAACCTCAACCTGCCATTCAGCAATTAAGATCCTAATTCCTTCTCATTTACATATTTGACAAAGACAAATCAGTAATTCCATCAGCCAATTCAGAAATTATCAGAGCTGAATGAAGAACTCTGAAAGAATTTTGAATTCAAAATTGTGTCATTCAGCATTTCAGCAACTTGAGAGATCTATTTAATTGCTGAATAACAGAGCACAGGCATTGGGGTGATTATTTTACCAAAGAGTCAGTGTATATGTGAAGTATCACTAAACTGCCAATGCATATGTGAAGATGCACGAACAGTTTAGGATCTGAGACTGCATCTGAGTATATGGAGAAACCTTGACACCAAGAAAAGCAGTTAGGTATACCTATCTGATGCGCATGCTTGACAATTATTCATACCTTGGAATATTCTTCTGATGATTAAAATGAGGTGATTATGGATGGTTTTCACTGGACTTTGCTTGTTTATCACAACTTGTCAAAGTTGTGCATTTGATTCTTTTGGCCATCAATAGTGGTGCTTTTCTGTGGGAATCATGCTGGTGTATGGCTTGCAAACCTTGTCCACATCATGCCAAACAGGGAAAAGTTTTGCTTTCCTTTTCATGAATCTATTTTAAATGAACCCTAAGTTCACATCATCATTACTATTATTTAGTCGTGATTTACTTATCTTAAAATAATGCAAATTTTGTCTCATGAATTGGGCTTGTTATACATTTTATTGACTCAGATTACCCATTGAGGAGATTTTGTTTATCTATATTGTTATTACCTCTGGCAGAAGTATAATTATCAATGCAAAATACTGAGTATGATCTTTCTGCAGTTCCTTTTTGAAGCTGCAACTTCTCATTGTGTTGAGCTTGCAACGGATCGCCATGGTTGCTGTGTGCTTCAAAAGTGCCTCAGCCATTCTGATGGAGAACAGAGACGCCAATTGATCTGTGAGATCACTTCAAATGCTCTCATGCTTTCTCAAGATCCATTTGGGTATTTACTATCTTCCCCTTCTTTTGCTTATCATTAGTAGATCAACTACTGCATCATCAGCAACCATGCTAAACTACAACTACTGCATTTTATTAATTGGCTCAAGAATTTCAATCATCACCATACTGTTTTCTGTGACCACCTTCATGTTGCCCTTCACTTTCACATTATCATATCAAAAGATAAAGCATAACCTGAGAACCTAAGATGTAAGAGTAGCTTCTCTCTGGTGGAGTTGCCATCTACTATAGAGCCTGAATATATTATCTGAGCCTCACCAGCTTGGTTTGCAACCCATCTAATGATTTCATCAGTTGTGAAGTCTTGAATTCTTCTCTTGTTTTCATCTGACGTATTGCCCTTATAGTTATTAATATTTATTACTTTTCTTCATTTACTTATTAATTAGCCTCTGGACTACTTTAGATACCACCAACAATATTGTAAATACTGAAGATTTTTGTTGATCTGAAGTGTTCAGTTACTTGTTTCCCTGATGAATAACAGCTCTAAATTTCATTAATATGAAATATTGTAGAGTACAATATGCATTTCAACATTCCCTTCAAGGTGGCTAGCCTCGGTTTACCACCTCTTTTGAATTCATTATATTCACCCCTCGGCCCTCCCCCCTGTTTGGGGATTTGTCCCCAGAACATCTGATTTCTTACTGCCCCTTCTCTTGCAAAATTGTCCACCAATCCATTGGAAGAACGTGGTACCCAAGTAGCAACGGCTGTTAACTCCATCATTATCATTTTTTGTCTCATAATTGATGCCTGTACCTCCAAGGACCTCCTTTTCCTTCAGCCACCAACTACAAGTCTACAACACATGAATCTCTTTCAATAATGAGCTTTCTGTAATTCATCGGTTTTTCCCTTCTTAATCCTTCATACTATCATACTTATAGTAGCACAAGGGCCACTGAACATTTTTTCTTCTTTATCAGAGTAAATCCTTGCATTCCTTTCCTCCCAAATGGCCCATAATACCGCCAGAGATTTATATAAGATGATGGCCTGAAATGTAACTTAGATCTTTGCTGGAGCTGTCCACCCTGCACCAAGCAAAGACAAAAAATACTGCCAAATATTAGAAAATGTAGGACATGAAATTAACAGGACTAGTGTCAGTTAAGTTTATGAAAAAAGCATCTAAAGGGCACAAAATAGTCTTATTGTTTGGAATTTGGATGACCTCACATGAATTGATTTTCATATGGTACATCTCCCAAAAGGTCCTCAATTATGGGGGTTAGTGCCAACTCCTGTACTGAAAAAAAGGCCCTTTCCTTTTGGCACTACCCCCCGTCTCTGTTAGTGCTCTTCCTTTCTGTACCAGAAAAAATAAATATGCCCTTTCTTTTCTTTTGTTTTCTTTCTTTTTTTGAGAAAAGGTAACTTTCTTTGAACAAAATTCAATGTTTCCTTTTTCTTAATGAACAAAATTCTTTTGATAATCAGGAATTAGTAGTCCTTTTTCTTTCTTCATGTGTTTGTGTGCTTGTGCAGATGCATATGCATGTGTACACGTTTCCTTGTAATTCATATCCAATGAGTTGAGAAATTTGCTTTAATATTTCAGGAACTATGTTGTGCAATACGTGTTTGAACTTCAGGTTCCATGGGCAATAATGGATGTGCTTGACCAGCTAGAGGGTAACTATGGATACCTCTCCATGCAGAAGTATAGCAGCAATGTTGTCGAGAAATGTCTGAAATATGCAGGTGAAGAACTCCGCCCTCACATTATTCAGGAACTGATAAATTACTCCCAGTTGGATCAAATCCTGCAAGACCCATATGGCAATTATGTCATTCAAGCAGCACTTAATCACTCTAAGGTAGGATGCCCCTAAACACATCCATTAAGTTATTTCACGAGTTCTGTTGGTTATAATCTCAGCGTGTGGTGTATGTTCCTGTTGGACAGGGGGGGCTCCATTCTGCCTTGGTGGAGGCTATCAGGCCTTATGTTCCAGTACTCCGGACTAGTCCATATGGAAAAAAAGTTCTTTCATGCAACAGTCTGAAAAAGTGACTAGTGTGATTCTTAGATAAAATTCTTCAAGTTCATAACTTGTTTTTCCCATGTGAATGGGTCTCGCAAATTACTTGGGGCACTGCACTGCACTAAGAATTTCTATGAAGAATTCAGGACTTCCATTCCAGAGGGCTGTGTAAACTGTGTAATAAATAGGAAAGAAAGAAACTTCTCAGATTAGATTGGTTTTTGATATTCGGGTTTTAAAGATGCCTTGTACAGCCCACCTGAAAAGATCAAGGTGAAATTTGCATTTCATGCCTCATTTTGCCCTTCCGCATGGTCATCAAGAAAGATCATTCTGAAGGCAATTTTGCTTGACCCTAAATCTGCATGTTAATAGACTGAACCCTTGCTTTTGAATAAAAGAAAATTCAAGGAGGGTCTAGAGTTGTTTAACATTATGAGGGGAGTGTACCTTCTTGTGCTTTAGTGAAGCTCTTTCACTAGAAGTAGTATTTTTCGTAGAAGGATATAACTGGACTACCTGGTTTTTGTACCAAATATATATTTGGCAGTATTGTATTCTCTCCTTGTAATGTTCATCTTGTGTTTATGAGTCCTTTATGCTTCTTTCATCTTGTATCCCCATATTATGTGAATGGCTCTCTTCTGCAAGTTTATAGAAGCAAATAGGAAACTGGGGTCTGAATGTTCATAGCTCTAGTCTCAAACTCAGCTGTTGGTTATCATCCATCTTAGATATGAATTTGTTTGGTTCACTGGAATTGGGGTCTGGAATCCGACTGACCTTCCAACCATTTGGTGGGCAGAATCAGTATCCGTACCCGATTCCCATTCCTGGTGGAATGGTCATTTCCCCCTGAGAATGAGAATCCTATTTCAGCTGATTCTGATTCTGATCCCTGTCCAACCAAACAGGCGGAAAGAATAGACCATTTCAATTCCGATTCTAATTACGAACTAAATACAATTGTGGACACTTAAAACAGATTGAAATGAAGCTTGGTATTAAGGTAGCCTTCAATACCTCCAATCTCCATTAGGGATGTTGGGGTCTTCCTTCTCTGAGGTACAGCCGTACAGAAGGCAAGGAGGCTGCAATCACCAGATCAAAACTAACCCTACCCATATCATGGAAATTGTTCAATCAAACTTGTAAGGCCTCAGAATAGGATTGCCTTTCATGGATTAGTCAATAGTCATTAGAGAGACCAGACAAAGCCTATGCGCAGCTAAATCTTGGAATTGAACATCAGAGAAATAAACAAGGTTAGTAAGTTGTCCACTCGTCAGTTACCCAAAGCCTATGCGCATCGAAGAAGGGACCCACTGATTGATTGAACCAGACAAACGAGTCGCAAGAATTTGTGTATGTGAGATCAGAACAGATTAATGATTCAATGAAAGCAAAACTGATCTGGGCACATGCATTTTTTGATAAACGGGCACGACATCTAAGGTCCGTTTTTGGAATTAAATTAGAATGGTCTATTTTCATGTTTTATTTGGTTCAGATAAGAATCAAAATAGGAATTGAAATAAGTTGAAATGAGATTTCATTTAAGGGAGGGAATCGAAGTGGGATTTCAATTTTGTTCAACCTAACCGTTGGAGTTGAAATGGCCGATTGCTAATCCTTATTCCTACGAACCAAACGGGCCCTCAAGAGTTATTGATATTGTTGTAATGTTGTGCCCGGAAGGAAAAGGAAAAGTAATTAACTAAACGTTGTAGAAACTATGTTCTAAATTGAAGCATATGTATATGAGATATTTGTGGTTTTAAAAGCCAAAGAAACTGACACGTGGTTGAATATCGTTAAGTTGAACTGGACGACCGATTAGAGCCACCAGTCGTCTTCTTGCAATTCAAGCCTCTCTTTCTGCAATCTCTTCCTCTCTCAAGTATCACCAATGGGTTCTCTTGGTTTCACTTTCTGATAACTAAAAACAAGACCCAGAGAGAGAGAGAGAGAGTAGAAACTAACCATGTCTATAGCTCCAAGAAGCTACCCATCTCTCTGTTCCTCTCCACCACTGCCAAGAACAGTTCCCTCCAAGCAAAATCCATGCCTCACCTTTCCTTCCAGCTATTATTTCTCGAAGAACTACTCATTCTTGGACTCCCCGGTCTGTATCTGCAATACCCAGTTGAGAAAACCATCAATTTTAGTTGTTAAAGCATCCGCTACTGAATCTGAACCATCGAAAGCAGATGGCGGAGGTGAAGGTGGAGAAGCAGAAGAACAATACGAGGAGTATGAGGTAGAAATCGAGCAGCCATATGGGTTGAAGTTTGTAAAAGGCCGGGACGGTGGAACCTACATTGATGCAATTGCGCCAGGAGGAACGGCTGACAAAACTGGGATGTTCGCTGTCGGGGACAAAGTACTTGCTACCAGGTTTCATTTGCTTGTGAATTTGCATTTCCGATCAAAGTTATGATTTTCCTTTTATATTATTTACTCAAATATCTGAAAATTTGGATGGATTCCGCAATTAGCTTGCCACTTTTAGCGAATTGGGTTGGTCCAAAGGAGTTTATTCAAATATATTAATGGATTTGTTGGCTTTGCGAGTCTATAATAGATAAGCTAGCAGAGCGGTTTATAAGCAGGTTTTCATTAACTTTGTAGTTTGTACCGAATAATGGGTCTAGACAATCTGGAATGCTTAATGTTGGAGATCTGCTACTTGTTATCAGCTTTGCCATTTGTGCATTTTCAGTTCTTGTTTTGAAGTCATTCGCAATTCTGCAGTTCTTTCTTTCTTTTTCCTTGAAATTTCTCTGTTGTTGCATTGAACCTTTTGGACTGATACTGCAATTACCTTGCTATGTACTGGGAATAGAGTATCCAAAAGGAATTATGTGTTATTCAGAGGATCAAGGATGCTGACATGAGTCATGAGTAGGAAGTCTAATTATTACCACTTTAACTGGACTTATGTAAAAGCTAATGGTGAAACCTCAAAGTATAGACTCTAATTCCACTTGTACTCATGTCTATAAGTAGCTTTTTATTTATTACTTGCTAATATGGAGTTTTACAAAACTTGGATTCCGTGATCAAGGAAAAATACCAATGAGAATATCTTATTTGTTTGTTTAATTTGTGTAATTGGCAAATTTGTTGTTTTCTCTTCTATTTTTCTAGTTCTCTATCTTAAAATCTTGGTAGCATTACTGAGAATTCGGGTTGTTTTGGGGGAATTTATGAGTTCTTATAGAGGAATAATTGCTATATTTCTAGGCATTCTTATAAGCAGCTTTTGTTGTTTTCTTCTGAACACTTTCATTTTAACCATTTAGAGGGTCTATAAGCAGCTTTTGACATTTCCTTCTAATATATTGAGGGCTACATGTATCCCTAAATTTTATAAATTGAAAGAATAGATTTTCATGGTTTCTGTTTTATTTTAGAAATTTTAACTAGAAACTAGGACCTTGTTTATTTGCAATTGAATACACGATTGTGTATGTGATTGAATTTTAAAATGTATGCAGTGCTGTATTTGGGACAGAAATATGGCCTGCTGCTGAATATGGCAGGACAATGTACACCATCCGCCAGAGAGTTGGCCCATTACTTATGAGAATGCAGAAAAGATATGGTTAGTTCCTGTAGACCTATCTTCATAGTTCGTAGTCCCACTTCATGGTAATCTTTAGTATATAGCTTATCTCTATTCTTTCCAATATAACATCCCCAGTTGCTTCATTTCTGTCCTCAATTCCCAAATAAAAATGCATAGCTTAACTACGAAAAAAAAATATTGATTTCAAATCTGAGGCATGTTTTATGTTCGGAATGTCATCTTGAAGATTTCAAAGTTAATTCATACCTCATCCCCATTTAGTTTGTATTTGCATTCACAGATTGGTTATCTGTATCATTTTGCCAGGGAAGTTAGAATATACAGGTGAGCTTACAGAGAAAGAGATTATCAGAGCTGAGAGGAACTCTGGTGTGATTAGCAACAGAGTGAGGGAAATTCAAGTGAGTATGACCTGTTTCATCTGAAGTATAAACAACATGCTGGGTGCACCTCTTTTGTTCACCCTCAATGCTTCTTTACATGAGGTTGCTTGTCGATTAACTCAACATCAATTTGGTTTCTTAATCCCCAAGATTTTGTTTTCAGATGCAAAATTACTTGAGAAAAAAAGAACAAAAGGAGCGTAGAGAAAAGGACCTTCGTGAGGGGCTAATTCTTTATAAGTAAGTTCTGGAAAATGATTTGATTCCTCTTCTTTAGTTTTGTATCTGCAATTATTTGTTTGTAATACATACAAGTTCTTTTTTTTTTTTTTCTTTTCCTTATTCTTTCAAAGTACAGTTAGGGGTGCAACTTGGGTGGGCTTGGGTTGAGCATTTGTTAAAATTTTAATGGGCCCATCCCAAGAGCCTGGGCCCGATGCCATTAAATTCTTCACATCAGGTGCCAACTTGCACCCATAAGTAGCATGGAACAATTGGGGCCAAACCCACAACTTCATGTTTCCTCCAAATACAATAGGGAAAACCATCATTAAGATATTGACATCTGATCCATGCTACACAAAATCTCCATGTATTCTTGCTGATTCAAGCTTCATGGTAATAAGACACTAGAAAAGTAAATTGTGCACCTCTTATGCTGGGAAGCTCTGGATTATTTATCAAAGTTTCATAGAGATTCAACTTGAGAGTTGAGATGGTTCCTTCTAGTGCCTGGGTAGTTTCAAAAACGAACACTGCCAGTCTGCCAGATGACAGTTGTCACAGTTCAAACTATCAAATCTCGAATGCAGTGCAGACTAGTCAAACTTGACAATAGAACACATTATTGGATTTTTCTTCTCTGTGATGAATTGAATGATGATGAAATATATAGGCCATAGGGGATTAGATGGTGCTACAATTCCTCTTCTTTTCTATGTATAGCTGTATGGCTTTTGGAAGCTCTATGCAGAAATTATATGATTAATTGTGGAAGTAATTTCAATCTTAGACTATGATTGATTTTACTATTTCTTTGTTTATATTTTTATCATTTTAATATTTTATATTTAGATATTATTTCCCTGATAGAATTAAGAATGCAAAATTGAAACTTACCAACTGAACTGTTTAACTGTTAATGCCATTATGAAATATTTTCTCAACAAAGTTAATTGTGCTTTTCCTTCCCTCCTCCCCTCCTCCACCCCAAAAATGGATTATTTCTAAGTCCCAAAATCCCTTGCCTTGTATCTTTTGATTGATATATTTTATCTGTAGCCTTTGTTATGTAGTTGGTCATAGGAATTTATAGTATTTTTTTTGAGTGTTTGGATTCTAATCTTGATATCCATTTCCTATCAACAGAAGGAATGGAAAATATGAAGAAGCACTTGAGAAGTTTGAATCTGTTTTGGGTTCAAAACCAGATCCAGATGAAGTTGCAGTAGCAAGCTACAATGTAGCATGCTGTTATGCCAAGCTAAATCAGGTATTGTTCCGGTCTTGATGAGTCGAACTGTATTTACCATATCATTAATGTTGATAAGAGTCTAACAGTGTTACTTATTCATTCCTCTTCTACCTGATCTAACCTTGTGTATAATGTAATTAAATAAAGACAGGGATAGTCCTATTATGGCTAAAGTTATTTTAATTTTTCAATAATTTATCTGCTTACATAATAAATTTTCTTTTTGGCAGATACAAGCTGGACTTTCTGCACTTGAAGATGCCTTGACAAATGGGTATGAAGATTTCAAGGTAATATATAGTTTGCTCTATTCACAATAGTGATGACCCCAGTTAAACTGAAATTTCTGGCACTATTACAGAAAATCCGGACGGATCCTGATCTAGCAAATTTGAGGACATCTGAAGAATTTGATCCCCTGTTGAAAAGGTTCGATGAATCCTTTATCAATGAAAATGCTATAAATGCAATCAAATCTCTATTTGGGATATTCAACAAGAAGTAGCCATGAGTTCACATGCTAGTTGATGTTGTGCACATTTCTGAGCTTGAATAAGGTCAAGCAAGCTCTTGGTGCCTCGGAGAATTAAATTTTCTAGTAAGATTTTTGTCTATACCATACTTTAATGTGAAGGTTGTAGGAAGAATCCTGGATTTTTTTTTTTTTTTTCAATAGGTGATGTTTCACTTATTTCTCTAGTTGGAGTCCTGTATTTTAGAAGGGTAGGAGCGTAGTAGTTTCAAGAGGTATAACTTCAATGCCTTGTATATTGTACAATAAGCATTCTCCAACTTCATATTCTTTTGAAATTGAGATATTGAAGGAAATCATGATGATCATCATCATCATGTAATCCTTGTCCCAATTATATGGGGCTGGCTACACAAATCCTGTTTCATCATTCCACTCAGATTTTTGTGAAGGATCAGTGCTATATTCATCTTTAAACTAAGGCCGCTTAAATCATTTCTTATAAACCAGTGTGTGTAAGATAACTGTGAGGCCATGTCCTAGAGCTAGAGAGGAGAAGCATGTACACAAGAGAAGAAAAGAAATTGAAAGTGGGTTGTTTAACTGCTGTGACAGCTTCAGAAAGTAATAGCTTCATTGATCCCCCAAGATCAACTGTCAGTCAATATCATTAAAGGAGAATCATCATTCTATAACATCTTCATGATCATGTGCATTACACATTACTTCCAGCTCTAAAATCTCTTGGCTGGTTGTCCCAAAGCCATATTTTAGGTAACAAGCAAGAAAAGCTACAAGAAGGAATTGGTGGGTTAGGGTCTTTAAGGGGGTGCTCTGAACTGTGGATATCATGTCATTTGCTTTGTTCTGAAACATGCCACATGTATTAGGCATTCTTTAGGGTGCGACGTGTTTTGAAATGACATGTGGATGGTTTTGAAATACAAAATATCACCGCGGTTTTCAAAACCGGACCGGATTGGAAAAATCGGGAACCGGTCATTTAACCGGTTTTGTTTTCCCCCAAAACCGTTGATTTTGGTCAGTAAACCGTTGAAACAGTCGGTTAATCGTTCGAACGGTTTTGACCGTTTTTCAATTTTTTTTATTTTTTTGTTAAAATGGGCCGGCTGTTCAGGTCAAATGATCGGACCGTTCGAACCAGTAACCGGACCCTTTGGCCGGTTCGACCACCGGTTCATTTTTAAAAACCATGGATATGACAATTTCTCTTTTACACAAAAATTTCATGGCTTGGGATTATCATTATTAAGTTCCACAACATATTGAGGCATATTGGCCGATACGTATTTACATTTCTGCAAGTATTTCAGGGTTTGACCTGTTTCAGGGGGTAGATGGGTTTTAAACTGATCTCCTGTGTCGGTATTTAGAACCTAATAAATGATTTCAACCATGCCACAGTTGGACCCAGTAGAATCAAACACACACACACACTCCTTATAGAGATCACACTACCAATTAAACACCCTCTAAGTTTGGAGCTGATGTGGAGGATGTCTGGATGCCATGAAATGTAAAGCAGCCACACATACATATTAAAGGCATTAAAGCCAGTAATTGTTTGGTCTTTTAAGACCCCGCCTGAACAACTTATTGTTTGGTCTTTTAATGAATAAAATAATGACATAATATTTATGCAAAGGTGTAGTAACCTAACCCACAACCTCCTTAAAGAGTTATTCGGTAAAAGACAAACCAATAAGTTTTTCAGTTCAGCCACTAGAACTGTTGTCAAATGAGACTGAACAACTTCAGGAAACAGCCGCATCCAAAACAAGATAACAATAACTACTGCATATATAAAGCACTAGAAAGTAGAAGGATTAGTGAATTCACCATCTACAGAATGGATGTAGAATTCTTGTGATCTAATGCACTGTAAATCCTAGCTTTCACTTGTGTTGATTTGTGAGTTAAGAGTGCAACATGAGAATGGAGGGTCACTGTGGTTGAGAATATTATCTCTAAGGGGGCCATTCGTTTTTGGGACTTTGAGAGGGGAAAAGTTGGTCAAACCCCATTGACCAAGAAACCTATGTTCATTTTTCAGATTTATGTAGGGATCAGGGAAAATTTAGGTAAGTGATAACCATTTCCTAGGTGAATAAATAATTTTTCCACTTGGGAGAAAGTTGTCAACATTTGAATGGAATATAAATGTGACAAATGCTCCTTTTAATATTGAATTTTTATGACTAAAATAGTCATCGTCTTATTTACCTGAAAAATGAAAGAACATGGGTAAATGCACTACGTGAATAAATAACTTACTAAAAAGTGAATGAGGCCTAAATTGAATATTTTGATGCCCCTCAGCCCAAGCCAAAGATAGATTCTTATCAGGTTAAAAGTTGTCCATCCAATCCAAATTCTAAGGTCAATCTCCACCCCATCATTTAAAAAAAAAAAAAAAAGGCTGTTTTATGTTCAACAGCTGGTGCTATCCACAGGATTCTCGTTTTGTGACACATTATTCCAAACATACTTGCATGGCTGTTTGGACACATGTGTCAATAGGGCCTCATTCATTTATCAGGATCTCACGGGATAAGTTGGTCAATCGAATAATTGGCTAATATTCTCATATTCGAATGTTGGTATTAATGGTCCCATGGAAAGATTGTGTGTGAGCACCAGGTGTGAGGAGCAGATCCGATCTCTGTTTATCCATTCGCGTAAGTGCCAGTGCAACCAAACACTAACACCACACTTTGCCCAAATAATTCTTACTTGAGAATCATTTGCCCGAATAAGTGCGCTATCCGAATACCAAAAAATGAACGAGGCCTAAGAGAGAACTTATAGAAAGGGAAAAACTATAGAAACAGACTGTCAATCTTGGACAGCTAAAGATTTCTCACTAACCCCAGTGTTGTATCGCTTGGATTAGTTGCACTAGCTACACTTTATGGCTGTGTTAGTGACTGCTTATACAATAATAATGCTCCACGACAGCCGACGACCGCAGGTGTACATGTTCCACAATTACTCCAATCTCCCACTGGTCCCCACTTAGTGCCAAAAGGATTACATAAACCATTTTTAGGTACGATACAAGTATTCATGATTGCGTTTGGCTTAATACTTGTGCCAAGGTGAGTCTTACTGCATTACATCTGAATTTGAATTATCTGCACTTGATGGATGTATTAAAGGCTATTCCATTGGAGTGGTTGTGGGGCATGCACTTGGTTGGTTAAGTGCAACTAATCCATGCTGACATGCAAATTCCTTATTAGAGGTGTAAAACGGCCTGGGACGGTATGGCATGGCCCGCCTATGGCCATGGGTCATCTTGGGCCGTGCCGCGGGCCTAGGCCAAGTGGGTTGTAGGCCGTGTCGGGTTGGGCCACAGGCCAGGCCTTGGATGTGGATCGAACCAGGTTAAATTATTATTATTTTTTGTTTTTTTGATATATTTTATTGTTTTTTTTCTAAGTAAAACTAAAATATTTGACTTTCCTTTGAGAACTATTTAAAAAGTTAAGAAATATAATAAAGAAATAAAAAAATCATTTAACCAAATAAGAAGTCAAAGAGATAAAGACTTAAATTGAATAACAAATTGGAAGAAAAATAGGAATTTTATTTCATTTAAATTTGAATGATACAAAGTGTAGGAGGGGTAAGGCTTGGTTGGGGAGTGGTCTCTTTGAAAGATAGAGAATGACCGGTGAATAGGGAAATAGGCTTCTAGGGTTAAGGATACTGAGGCGAGGGAGCCGAGAGAGTGTGCTTGAGTGTGTGCTAAATGCTAAGAATTGAATGAATTTCAATACGAGGATGACTATTTATGGGGGAGATCCCAAGATCCTAAAAGGCAGGAGATAAGGGTATTTGTAACGTATCGGGAAAGGGAATACTGGATTCACTGTTAATTATTAAGTGCGCTATTAGGGTTTTGCCACATGTCTCATGAGGATTTTCTCGAAGATCGGCTTTCATTGTCCTCAAGATCCTTCATTACTCACGTGTGCTATTACCTCTCATGCACTTTATTTTAATTGACGTGGTGGCGTTTAATGATGTCACCGCTTGGCGGGCAGTGTCTTATTAACCCTACGTGGTGTCTCGCCATGGGCTCGGCCCGAGCTTCTCTCAGTTTGGGTCACAAGTAGGTTCAGTGAACTGCGGGTTTATCGCAGTTTTGCGATAGGCGTTGTGAGTTCATCGCAGGGTTGATGGTGTGTTGCAGGTTCATCGCATCATGGGGATTGACTGTGGGTTGTCCGTACGCAACTTTGCGGTGTTAATCTTGATGTTTGATGTTCTCTGAGGGTCTGAGTGAGTACTATGTACCTACACAAAACATACAATGGTTGGATGAATGAAATATCAAATTTGGAAAATGGAATAAATTAATAAAATATAAAAAATACAATATAGTTACAAATTGAAAATAAAAAATTACGTTACTAAAAAATATCAAACAAATTAAATAAAATTAAAACAAAATTTATAACAATTTGAAAAAATGCTATAAAACTATTGACTTATTGAGTATACAAAAAATATTGACTTCACCATTTTCTCCCATTATTCTTGACTCTGATCATCTGTTTTAGGTGAAACATCAGGTGTAGTGTCATGCCCTCCTTTGTCTTATAATCTATCTTTAGCATTAAACCAATTTTTAAAGCAGATGCACATCTCTAGACTTTCATCATTCATATAGCTTCTCTTGTTGATGATGCACGATCTGGCCGATCTTAGCTGTTGATGATCTTGCCTCCGAAATGAGTAACAGGGACCTGAAACGGGAGGAGAAGAGAAGCTCCGGGGAAAACCCGGCGTAAGGGCTCCGAAGCTCAAGTTAGAATCCTTCAAAGGCAAGAATAACCAGATAGCGCGGAAGTTAGCATACCTCGTCCCTGGGGGGTAGAAGCCTTTTATAACCAC